GGTCTCGATAGCCGCCCCAGGACAAACAGAGTCAGGGATAACTATGGGCGAGCCCGTACATGGCCAAGGCCCAAGCAAGCAATTGCTTGGGATGCCCTAAATCGTGTCCGAGACCGGCAGGGAGGTCTCTGAATGGGATCCCACCGTAGGGAGGCACCGAGCCCCCGGGGGCAATCGAGCGGCCCTAGGACCCACTAGAGAAGCCCTCTGGTAGTTGTGAAGCGCGTCTCTGGACCGCTAGCCGACCCCTATCGAATGGGGCATGGGCCTCCACTTAGACTTACCCGATAACAGCTCACCGGAGGTGTCACTGCTCGCGCCCACCGAGGGTAGCCTGGCATACTCCACCCCTCCTTCTGAACGAAAAGGATGCGCGAGGGCCGCCCAAAAAAGACAGGGAAACTCCTGATCGCCCTCTTGCTCCACACAGAGGCTCGGGGGCTCTCCCTGCAACCAAATCGATTCCTTTTAGGCTAAGGAACTGGGCACCGAGCCCGTTACGGTCCAGGGGTTCGAAGGCTGGGCCCCCGAGGGTCTCGACAGCCGCCCCAGGACAAACAGAGTCAGGGATGACTATGGGCGAGCCCGTACATGGCCAAGGCCCAAGCAAGCAATTGCTTGGGATGCTCTAAATCGTGTCCGAGACAGGCAGGGAGGTCTCTGAATGGGATCCCACCGTAGGGAGGCACTGAGCCCCCAGGGGCAATCGAGCGGCCCTAGGACGCACTAGAGAAGCCCTCTGGTACTTGTGGAGAGCGTCTCTGGACCGCTAGCCAACCCCTATCGAATGGGGCATGGGCCTCCACTTGGACTTACCCGATAACAGCTCACCGGAGGTGTCAATGCTCACGCCCACCGAGGGTAGCCTGGCATACTCCACCCCTCCTTCCGAACAAAAAGGATGCGCGAGGGCCGCCCAAAAAAGACAGGGAAACTCCTGATCGCCCTCTTGCTCCACACAGAGGCTCGGGGGCTCTCCCTGCAACCAAACCGATTCCTTTTAGGCTAAGGAACTGGGCTCCGAGCCCGTTACGGTCCAGGGGTTCGAAGGCTGGGCCCCCACGGGTCTCGACAGCCGCCCTAGGACAAACAGAGTCAGGGATGACTATGGGCCAGCCCGTGCATGGCCGAGACCCAAGCAAGCAATTGCTTGGGATGCCCTAAGTCGTGTCCGAGACCGAAAGGGAGGTCTCTGAATGGGATCCCACCGAAGGGAGACGTCGAGCCCCTGGGACCAACCGAACGGCCCTAGGACCCACTAGAGAAGCCCTCTGGTACTTTTGGAGTGCGTCTCTGGACCGCTAGCCGACCCCTATCGAATGGGGCACGGGCCTCCACTTGGACTTACCCGATAACAGCTCACCGGAGGTGTCACTGCTCGCGCCCACCGAGGGAGCCTGGCATACTCCACCCCTCTTTTCGAACAAAAAGGACACGCGAGGGCCGCCCAAAAATGACAGGGAAACTCCTGATCACCCTCTTGCTCCGCGTAAAGGCTCGGGGGCTCTTCTTGCAACCAAGCCAAGACCCAGCGACCTGAACTCGCACTCAGGGGCTCGGCAAACGCGATAAAACCCCTCACTCAACAGCGAAAAAGCCCCTAGAGGAGTAAATCCACTCCTCCAGGGCCTCGGGGGCTACACCCGGCGAGTGCGCTCGCGCGTACCCACCGAGGCCTCTAGCACAAAACACAATCCCGACGGGAGCTGCTGCGAGCCAAGTCTCGTCAAAACCTCAGGGAGAGTGCCCGCACTCCCCCCGAGGCTCGGGGGCTACTGTCGGATACCATAGAAAGGGGTACCCTAAGCAAGAACTAGAAAAAATTGCTTAGACCTTGTAAATATCGAAGCCAAGAGACAACCACGAGGCCTCGGCCGATTCTCCGATTCGCCCAAGGCCCACGACGCAAGGCCTCGGATGAGGTACCGACTCTCCGCCTCGCCCGAGGCCTCCGTCGCTCGAGGCCTCGGACGAGGTACCGATTCTCTGCCGCGCCCGAGGCCCCGCCCGAAAGGCCTCAGATGAGGTACCGATTCTCCGATTCGCTCGAGGCCCCGCGCCATGAGGCCTCGAATGAACTCTCAGTTACCGACTCGCGCGAGGCCGGCTCGACATTGACCCCATCACCGCCGCCTTGACCAATTTCCCTGACAGGATGTCATATCCAACCAACGCGTCCAACCACTCTGGCAACGTCAGCCGCACGTCGACGCAGTACAGCAGAGTGGCCGACGGGACGGGAGTCACATCGGCGCCATGCAGTCCGGGACAGGACGGGGCAGGGGTTATCGGTCGCTGTGCACGGCACTGTGCCCACGACTGACACCCATGCAGCACTGTGCTGCCTAACCCCACCTGCTCCAAGGATGGTGTGGCGTGGAGAGTCAAGTACAGGTCCCTGTAGCCTCGGAATCAACGAACAAGACCAACTGCTCCCTCCGAGCCTCGGTTATCCGCTTTCGGGCTCCTGTAGCCTCGGGACTTGTGCCCGCCGAGCCCCCCACGATGGTTCAGCCTCTGCATCGACTGGGCCTCGATTCTCTACGTTGTCAACACTCCGGCCTCGGCGCGTCGCCCACAGAACGCGCCATACCCTGCGTCAGGCTGCAGGAGCTCCCACGTCGCGCACAGGGCCGAGCTCCTGTGTCCTCGGAGTCAGCACACCCGTGCCATCGCATCAACCCGGCCTCGGCACTCCACACCGGTCAAACATACAGCGACCAGCACGCCTCCAATAGAAGAAGGTACGCCTGCCACCACAGGAGCTCCCACGTCGCACAAGACCAGGCGTGATCGGCGCGTCGCTCGAGAGTACCAAGGACAGGACCGCTCCATCGACCATATCGCCACAGTAACGAGCTGCAGGGCTCGGACATACCGCCTCCGCTCACAAAACACCATGTAGCGAACACATGTATCACCCATGTCCCCCCCTTCAACTATAAAAGGGAGTGACCGAGGCCGTTTCTAAAGGAGCACACACCCAACACACTCACGGAGACCTCGCTCAGATAGACACACACGCGCAAGCAACGAACAACACTCTGTAATACACACGCTCCCTCCATGCAAGAGATCAACATCTCAAGCAACCCACGCCGCTCTACGCAGAGACCTGGGACTAACTCCCTCTCTCGCCCTGCTTGTAAACCCCTACTACGAGCACCTCGGTGCAAGGAATACAAGATCGCTCTCCCAGACTGGACGTAGGGCACCTATTGCCTGAACCAGTATAAACCTTGTGTCTCTTTGCATCACCATCCGTGATAGGGACACGCAGTACATTCTCACTCGTTGGTTGAGGACCCGCCGGTCCAAAACACCGACAGACATCATTTAATGTTTTTGATGGACACTATTTAACACTATTATCTTTGTTAAAGGACACTTTTTAATTGTGGCAATTAGCTCTTGGACACTACGAATATTAAAATAATATTAGGAGTGGATGCTAGAGAAAGAAGTTAAAAATGATCATTATGCTCATAACTAGTATACCACAACCCTTAATAGTTATCTAAAAAAATCATAACTTTTGTATATGAAATCGGACGAAGATAAAATTTATATCAAACTTGTAGAGCTCAATGAGATCCACAACTTTATAGTTGACAATTTTTTTTTATCTAAAATGATTTAGAGTGCCAAAAATTCTCATTAAACTCCTACATTTTAAATTAAAAAATTAGAAGTTTCAAGCGACCTCGGATATTGACATGGTTTATACATAATCTATATGTGGGCTATGGCGTGCACACTAAAGACCCTGATCCCTCACGAGGACCCCATGGTCGTCCCCACCTAAGCATGCACAGAGACCATGGAGAGTCAAGCGGAGTAGACCTCATCATCGTTGTGCTCGGCGTCGGTCAAAATCCACCAGAGTTCACCGTCATGCCCTATTCTATAATGGAGAGAAGAAAGAAGTGGTAGATAGTGAAGATTATAGGGGCCTAATGGTCAAATGGGGAGATATGAAGCCAATACATGGGCCTCATACAGGGGTGTAGCTCATCTATTTAGGTTCTGTGGTGGAAGTTAACCATCCGGGTTAGTTATCGATGCAGTTGCTTCTATTTTCCTCAATTTATTTAGTATTTGATGATTTAACAATGCTATTCTTCTCGTGGGAGGCAACTGTATCTGTTGAAAGCGAGGCTCGTGTGGTGACTCATGAATCTTGAAATCTATCGACCGCTTAATATTTCAGAGGTGTTCATAGTGGGCTTGGATGTGAGATGTTCATGAGGGCGAATGTCTGTGCATGCATGTGAGCATCAATGTCATACTACGATTCATAGTAAAAAGGAAGCCGACATATAATAATAGTGCCATTCAATAAGCTTGATGATGATAAAAGCAGTGTTCTAAATAGTGGGCTATAGCAGCTCACACCACTTGCCGCTACAACATAGTTATACTAAATAGCGAGATATAGCAGGCTATAACGGCTGAGGAGGCCTCTTTGCTAAATGTTATAGTTTGCTATTTAGAACACTACTGTGATAAAAGTATTAATAACCACCGAATTGCTATTAATAGTTAAATATGTATTTAGTGAAGCATAAAGAAACGCAAGTACGTATTTAGTAAAACCTAAAATTCCATTAAATGTGTCTTAATAAAATGGTAGGCAAACACGCTTTAGTTGAATCAAAATATTTTATTATAAAGATGTTTTGCATGTTTTTGTTGTTTAGAAGAATCAATAAATATATATGACAATTGACAAGAATTGTTATCATATCTTTTTCAATATAAATATAGACTGTTAAACTGTATATTAAAAAAAATGTTGTGTTGTTAGGGGGTCATGGCCCCTGCCGCCCCCTGCCCCCCTTGTCTCATAGGTCATTAGCATGGCTTAGCATTTGAGCACGAGTCTAGATCCATTTAAATTAGCTTTGACATCCGAATAAAGATCCAGGATCTAAATGAGAAACTTACGAAGACGATAGAACCAAACAAGTATGATTGTAGATTTTGCGAAACGACCGGCCATGGTCCAGCAGGATGGCGGTGTTGTGCGAAGGACGATCAACGGAGCACCGATTAGGACACGTACGTGGATGACATTCAAGGGGTGCTGCACGTGGGACAATGTGTACACGCATATGTATAGAATTTTTCTCCAGCCAGGGACAATGCATGGAGTTCTAGCTGTGCAGGTTGCAGTTGCGTTGCGCCCTTGGACGGGCGTCAGCGTTCGGAATTAAATTGTATGGACCCGGGGTCCATTCACTCTCCAATGCAACCTCTCGCAGATGGATGACACGTGGTGCATGAAAAAAATCACAACCGTGTGATGCTGGACCCACCACGCATGCAATTTATTCCATGCACAATTACCCTTGAATGTAGGAAGTTAACAGATTCTCGGTATCACCTTGAGCGTATGATGTTCTGCCTAAAGTTAAAGTTTTTTTGTGGCGAGTTTTACATGAATTCTTGTGGGCTAAGTCAGTGCTAAACCAGCGACATATGGAACCCACAGCTTTTTGGGATGTGTGTGGAGTTGAAAAGGAGTCTATCAGACATATTTTGATTGAATGCACCACGGCAAGACTCTTTTGGCGGGAAATTCAATCCATAACTGGAGCAAAATTGCCCCGCTTACACACACATACGTGGGCGTCTGATTTGTTGATGGCTGATCTTTGTTCAGAGAAGGAGCGGGGCCTCTTCATCATTGGAATGTACTCACTTTGGATGCAAAGAAACAAACGCCGCCATGGTGAGACTCAAGGATCGCTTCGCATTGCAGTGCAGTGGGCTGTTGATTTGGCACACGATTTATGGCAGATTATTCAGTCAAAGAAATAGCTGCGACTGGTGTCTACTCATACAGTTTGGAAGCCACCACCAGAAGGATTGTCCAAATGCAATACCGATGGGGCCTTCTGTCCTGGCGTCAATCAGGGGGCTACGGGAGTTGTTCTGCAGGACTCACTGGGCAACTTTGAAGGAGGCAAAGCATGCTGGTACCCCCATGGACTGGATGCGTTGATGAGGGAGACATTGGCCTGCCGCGATGGTGTTAAATTTGCCATGGAAAAATCTGTGCAGAGGCTGCAAATAGAAACGGACAGTCAGGAGCTTGTCAGGCTATGGGCCTCGGGGGATTTCCAGAGATCGTTCCTTGCACCAATCTTGAAGGAGATCCGTGATGTTAGTTCAGGTTTCCTTGATTTCATGTTGATATGTACAAATAGAGCTTGTAATCGAGTAGCCCATGTTTTAGCTAAGCAGGTCACAGATGAGATCAGGCTGGGCGAGTGGCAAAGTGCCCCGACCTGCATCCAGCGTCTGCTGACTGAAGATTGTAATCCCCCTATTCCTTGATGAATGAATGAAGCTCCAATTTATGAAAAAAAAAAACCTTGAGCGTCTGATTATTTTTTTATGCGCCACGTCTGATCCATCCGTGAGGGGTTGCATTGGAGAGTGAATGGACCCAGGGTCCATAGAAACCTGTGTAGATTACAGAGAACACACATTTGACATTCCAACCATGCAACGAACCGCTACCAATGCCGTTGAGTTGTCTTTAGATGTGTCTTTAGATGGGATGCGTGGTGCAACCGTACGTTTTCTAGTAATTTTCCTTTCTTCTCATCTGATAAAAATCTCATGCTTCCTTGTAAAAACTGAGTTGTATGAAAATCGATCGACAACAGGATCGGACAGGTTAGGATTGATCTCCACTAACTTGGCCCAACGGCCAACCATCCGTTCTTCTGGCTGATGGGCCCCTGTCACGCAGCGCAATAAATAGGAGGTGGAGGCTGGGGCTCGAGTCACGAGGTTCACCGTAGCCGCCAGCTTCCCACCGACGTCCTAGCCCTAGTCCGATCTAGAAAGGCGCACTGTAAGCGACGGGAAGCGCCATCGCCTTCGCCGCCACCACTGGACGTCTGGACCGCGCCTCCACGTCATCGCTGCTACCTCGTCGGCGGCGCCATGGTCGCGACTGCGCTCAATGAGGTACTTAACAAGGTATTGTATCAGATAAGTATTACCCACTGATCTATACCTAGAAGTACTTTCAGATCCATCAATGGTATCAAAGCCAGGTTGCTAGTGGGTAGATCCAGTTTGGGGTAGAAAACAGAAAAGAAATCAAGAAAGAAGTGATTCAAATCGGATCGAACTCCAACCCGAAACCCTAACTAACCCTAGAAGGGAACGGATGGAGAGGGCAAGGAAGCTTCCTGGTTTTCTTCACCACCATCAACACCGCCGCGCTAGGGGAGAAGCACCCCCGGGAGATGGCCGAGCCGCGCTCGTCGCCATGCGCGTGTGAGCCCGGCCAAGGGCACCATCACAGGATTGCTCGACGGCGGCGCGCTCATCCACCGGGGAGCGCGTGCTCCGACGAGGGGCCCCGCGGCGACGCCACACTTTTTCTCTGGCGTCTGCTACACTAAGAGCTGACAAAGGAGAAAGGGGAATGGAAAATGCTAGGGTTTTTAGGGCGAGCCCAACCGCAGCGCGTGTGGGAGACTAGGGCACCGTCGCCTAGACAGCTCGACGGCGGCGCACTTAGCCTAGGGCGAGCACGCGCGCCGGCGAGGGGACCGGCGGCGGCGGCGCTCCGCTGCTCTCCTTTTCCGTTGTGCTGCGGCATAGAGAGAGAAGGGTAAGGAGAAAATGTGCTCTAGGGTTTTGGGGAGCCGCGCACACGCGCTCAGGGTGCCGTCGTTAGACCGCTCGACGGCGGCGCGCTCACCCTACGGTGGGCGCACACACCGGCGAGGGGGCTAGCGGCGGCGGCACCGCCATCTCCGATCGCCATGTTGCTGGGTGAGAAAGGAGAGAGTCAGTCGTTGCGGCAGTAAGAGAGAGAAGCAGAGGAAGCAAACGAACTAGGGTTTCCACGCGAGGTGACCGCGGTGGGTTTTTACACACGCGAGATGTGCGGACAACCATCCTATGCAGATCGACGGCTCGCAGTGCTCGGACCAAATTAGGCCCAGTCGGGCGAGTTGTTTCCCAGCCCAGGTCTAGGTTGCGACTGGGATTTGGGAGAGGCAGCTTGTGAGCGTACGGCAAATCATGGGCCATTTTTGCGGCGTTGGGGCTGCGATGACAGAGGGCGGTCACAAGATCGGGCCATGCTGCAGCGTCGGACTGGGCCACAGATTTTTTTTTCCAAAGGGCCAAATGAATAGTAAACGCAGAGTTTTGTTTTATTATTTTCAGAAGCAATTTTGATGAATTTTGTCAAATTTTGAATCTCTGTCAAAATTTGAACCAACGGGATAATTTTTCCAAAGAGTTGATGAGTAAAGTAAAATGCTTCTGAAAAGTAGATAAAGAATTTTTTCATGTTTCTGCTGCAAAGTTTAATGTTGATTATCTTCCAATTAAGTTCGAACCAATGGGAGAATTTAATTTGAATAGCAGTTATATTTACTAAATTATGATTATGTTTATCCTCTAATTAAATTGGAACCAACGAGAAAATTTAAATTAGAGGAATAGTCTATTTTTATTTATGTTAAATTATGGTATTATTATTATCTGACCAACGTTGATGATAATAATATTATAATGAGTTTAAGGTTAAAGTTTCAATCTCTGATAAATTTTACACCAAGATGATCAATTTTTCAGAGAGTATATAAAGACCAAGAAATGCTCCTAAATTAATAGAATGTATTTTATTATCAAGTTTCTGCTGCAATGTTGTTGATTATCTTCTAATTAAATTTGAACCAACGGGAGAATTTAATTTTGAAGAGTAGTTATATGTATTTCAAGTTGATTTATGAGTTTTATGCATTAATTCTATTTTCTGTCCAACGGTGATGTAGAATTGATGCAGAAGCACCTTGTATGTTTCTATTTTAACCGACGAGATCACTTGGCTGCAAGCCAACGGACTGCATTGCTGGGCTATGTGAATGAAAAGGCTTGAGTCAAGCCAGTTCAGGACTATTTTTTGGTTGTTAGTTTACTAATTTTCTAATTAAATTAGAACCAATGGGAAGATTTAATTGAAAAATAAAGAAATAAGTGAATGTTTTTGTTGTCACGACTAAGTTTTCGTTACATTAAATTGGGTATAGATTAATCGCATGGTGGGAGAAGTTTTGGCATAGTACATATGCTAGTCAATCCTGCATGGCGGGAGAAGTTTGTGATGATTCGCATGTTTTGTATCCCGCATAGCGAGAGAAGTTTGGATAGCTCTTATGTTGTCCTAGTATTGACCGTGGCACAATAGAAATGCATCGTCATGGTCAATACTAACCAAAAGATAAGAAAAGATGCAAGCGTGACTTTCAAAAGTACTGCTAATGAAAGACCTCGTTGAGTTCTTGAAGTGAAATAAGAAAAAAGTGTACCCCTAAACGGATCAAGAAATAACTTTGTTTACATGACATAATCATGTGAATGAAGTAAGTTATAAGTGTATCCTCGTTCACAGATTTTCTGAATAGTTCTCAAAATTATGGCAGTAAAGTTCATGCCATATTTCGAGGGGGAGAATATTAAGATCAATTAAGAAAGATACTCTTCATTAACAGTGAGATAAAGATTAATTAAGATGAATGCGACCGTTGAAGGAGTACAACGGTCACAACAATATACCCCTAAGCAGAGAAATAGCTAAATTCTTGGACCTTTTAAAGTTTCGACAGGAAGATAGCGTAGTAAGCCTCAAAGATATTAAGGTGGTGCTTAAAGCGTCATATGAGGTTTTAACATGTTAAACCCAAAATAAGATATTTAAAGATACACTATCTTTAGAAAAGATAGGAAGATCTTGGGGAGCATAGTATGTAGAGGTATGTAGAGACCTAAGACTTGAAGAAAAGAGGGACTGTGTCCTCACTCCAATGACTCAGGAGCAACAAGTTTCTCAATACCTGCTGATGTTGTATGACTAATACAACACCTGTTGTTAGCTGTTCGAAGAAGATGAATAATGAAAACAAAGATCTTGTAATATAGAGCTCTGTAGAATCAATTGCCTCTTGGCAATAAAGAGCAACAACAACCCTATATGAAAGTACCAATAGCTGAGGCCCCAGAATGTCTCAAAGAATTAGTAAATCAGTTTTTCTGATGACTATGAAGTCTATGTTAAGTAAAGAAATTCAAATGGAGGGTGATCCCACCTCATTTGAAGAAGCCATGAGAAGCGTTTACTCGTTTAAATGGCAAGAAACTATGGAAGTTAAAATAAATTCGACTAATACCAACGATGTTTGGGACTTAGAAGTAATTCCTAATGAAGCCAAAATAGTAAAGCATATTGCTACAAGTTGTGCTTTACGCAAAGAGAATGAAGAGATTACAATGAGAGTTTTCTCTCTAGTCTTATGCAAGGATTCTTTTACAATCATAATGTTGTTAATGGCACATTACGATTTATAGTTATATCAATGGGAATTTGTATGAAAACGTTTACATGGCACAACCCAAAGATTTTGTCGTGGAAGAAAATAACGTATGGGATGCCGCCTGTAGAAATCCATTTATGGGTTAAAAGTAAGTCTCTAGGCAGTAGTATTTGAAGTTGATGAAAACAATAAGAAAGTTTGGGTTTTAAAGAAAATGAGAAGGACAATAGCGTTTATGCGAAGTTTAAGAATGGAAAATTTATTTTTCACATCCTGTGAATAGATGACATTCTACTCACTATTAGTGATGTTAATCTGTCATTGGAGAAGAAGTTTTGTCCTCAAATTTTAATGTGAATGATCTTGGTGAAGCGTCATTGGTTTTATGAATCGAAATTCACCGAGATAGAAGAAAATTGGGTATTAGGACTATCGCAAAGGCATACTTAGAAAAGATTCTAAAAAAATAAAGTATGCATGCGAGTAAACATATGCCTGCTCCTATAGTCAAGGGTAATAGATTTAGAAACTTTAAGTGTTCTAGAAACCAATATGAGATCGATCAAATGAGCATGGTTCCATATGCTTCAGCTGTTGAAAGCTTGATGAGTGTATAAGTACAAGTAAGAACTTACCCTGACGTAGTTTACGTATCCGGGATATTTTGGCAGAAGTCCAGTCTAGGTATAGATCACTGGAATAGAGTTGAGAATGTCTTATAATTTTGCAAAGTATCATAGGCCTCATGCTGAGTAAGAAAGAACAAATACTCTCAAATAGTTGAGGATACAAATGTTAAGTCTTGGCGAGATGTGTACTGAAATCCACAATAGTTGTTAACACTCGCAGTTGAAGTATTATTGTGGAAAAGCTCCAAAGAAACTGTCGTGGTGTCATCAATAATGCATACCATAGTATAGCTTGTCATGAGGCTTAAGAAACAGGCAAAAGCAGGTTAAGGGAATTAGTACTCGGATTTAACAATGGTAGTCAACAGCAATAACTATTTAAAGTAGTTAACTCCTAAGACAACAAGTCAAGTGTGCTGCCAAACACATTGACATTAAGTTATATGTTGTAAAGGAGAAAATTCAGAATCATTTTAAAAGCATTGAGCATATAAGTACCAAGCAAGTACTTGCAAATTCGCTTACCAAATGCTAACCAACCAGTGCATTCAGAGAACACACATTTGGCATGGGTTTATGGGAAAGCTTATAATTTCTAGATACTAAGGGCCTAGTTGAGAATCTATTTCAAAATAGAGAGATGCATTGTAGCTGTTAAATCTATTGGCAACTGACCGTGACGATGAGGCACGCTCTATGCACTGATCTGTGATGGAATGGGAAAAGATAAAGTAAGTTAAGTCTAAGTCATAAGGTGAGATCAAGGAGGAGAATGTTAGGATTGATCTCCACCAACTTGGCCCAACGGCCAATTGGGCCCTTGATCCGCGCCCTGATCGGGGGCGCCCAGTCGTTCTTCTGGCTGATGGGCCCCCACCGCGCAGCGCAATAAATAGGAGGTGGAGGCTAGGGCTCGAGTCACGAGATTCACCATAGCCGCCAGCGCCCTACCGACGTCCTAGCCCAAGTACGATCTAGAAGGGCGCGCTGTAAGCGACGGAAAGCGCCATCGCTTTTGCCGCCACAACTGGACTGCGCCTCCAAGTCGCTGCTACCTCATCGGTGGCGCCATGGTCTTTACTGCGCTCAATCTCCTACAACTAAAAAGAACAAAGTGTGGATATTTTTTGGTGCGACATTTATTTTGGTTCGTCCGTCTGCCCACGCCTGCGATCCCACGACATCTTAATTACTGATTGATCGTGCCATTCTCTTTGATTGAATATTGTCTGTCATGTGATAGAGGAATCACGACAAAATAAGAAGTAGAAAATTATTGTGCTATCCATATACACATTGCATGTTTGCATGCACCAGCATACATGGCAACGAGCAAAAGAAAAGATAATTAACATAGAAGGAAAGATAATTAAGACAAAAGGAACATCTTTGTATTTCTGAGAACCTTGTCAAATATGCCTACATTTAATTACTTCACCTCTTTGAATTTGCAAAAGCGACAGTTTTTTTCTCCTTTCATTTGGTTTCACGCTCACGTGTTCCATCGCCCTCGCTTGTTGTTTCTTGTGTGAACCATAGTTGATGTCATCTGTCTTCCATGGCTCAGCCTCCCAATCCCAAGAGAAGGTCCCTACCTCTCCCTGACTAGAGATCCGGCTTGCCAGAGGATCTCCTCGAGTCCATCAGGCAGCGTCTCACGTCAGGCCACGACGCGGCGTCCTTTCGATCCGCTTGCCATGGCGCGCCGCGGTCCCATTCGCGACCTTCGGGCGGCTCCTGCTGCTCCCGTTCGACCCCGACTCGGACCGCGTCGGCTTCTACTGCGTCCCAGAGAAGAAGGTCTTGTCCAAGACGCTGCCCGACGTGCACGGCACGGTGGCGCGCGGCTCCTCGTGTGGGTGGCTGGCGCTCATGGACAAGGCGGCGTCTATGACGCTGCTGAATCCATTCGTCGGTGCCTGTGCCTCCCGCGTTGAGCTCCCGCCAGCAAACGAACACGCCGTGGCGGCATCCTCATCGGAACACGTGTCTAGGGTCCATGGCCGGTGGGTCATCCATCCCACCAACGGCTACGGGGACGCGGATGCCGCAGGCGGAGCCATCAAGTTAGAAGACATGAGGGACGTGTTCTTCCGTGAGATCATGCTCTCGACGTCGCCTGACGCCGCCGGCCGCGAGTGTGTGGCCATGGCCATGCTTGGTGCTCCACGGAGGTCGCGTTCTGCCAGGTTGGAGTCGACAGCGCATGGACGCTGCTCGACACCAAACTGGAGTTCTCCGTGGGGTCCATCATCCACCGCCAAGACAAGTTCTTGGCGATCGATCTGCTTGGAGAAATCTCGTCTCACAGCAAAGAACGCCGCCGGCGCTTACTCCAACCGCGACGCCATCGCCATCATTGCCGCCCACTGCGGGGGCTCGCCACCGCAGCTACACAGAATCAAACGGTGAGCTGCACATTGTGGGTGCTATGGTGAGCACGTTCCACGAGACACAGAGCTTCACCTACAGCAGCGCGATCTACAAGTGCAACCTCCACGACCGTACGTCGGAGTGGTCCAGGGTGAGGAACATCGGTGATCAGACACTGTTCGTGTCTAAACATTTCAATAAAAGCTTAAGTGGAATAAGTGTATCCAAGTACAAGGAGAACAAAATCTACATGTCTGAGCCATTGTATGGGGATCCATACAACGTGGTCCATCGACTGGAGATCGTTGATATTGCTACCAGCGTATCCGAAATGAAGCCCGTACAGGAAAAGATGCAGGGTTCCAAGGCTCTAGTTTGGATTCGACCCAATCTCTGGAAGCTCTAGAGCTTGTGAGCCTGCGACGCCGCGCACTCCGTGACTGTGTTAAATTCATAAACTTTGTTTTTTGGATTAAATGTCACTTTAACGTTAGTATTTAATTTAACAGTATTGTTATCTTATCGTGCGATCCGTGTGTTTTTAGTATAAATTGTTAGTTATCCCGTAACAACGCACGGGCACGCTATCTAGTGAGGTACTTAACAAGGTATTGTATCAGTTAAGTATTACCCACTGATCTACATCTAGAAGTACTTTCAGATCCATTAGTCAGGCTGTTTTTACCAATCAGAACACTAGTGTGGGAAAATAAGGCATGGACAGACCCACTGATCTACATCTAGAAGTACTTTCAGATCCATTAGTCAGGCTGTTTTTATCAATCAGAACACTAGTGTGGGAAAATAAGGCATGGACAGTAATTGTAGCAGGACCCGAGCTTTATAAGATCTGGAAGAAAGCACAGCTAGTGCGCGCTTGAGAAGAGCTTGTGTTTGATTTTGGACAGCCTTCCTCTAAAATTTTAAACAGAAATAGTTTGACTTTCCTAAAAAAAAACTCTCTTGGTCCTAAATTATAAATCATTTTAACTTTATTCGAGAGTCAAAACATATCAGATTTGACCAAATTTACAGAGAGAACTACGAAGATTTATGGCATTAAGGCCCCGTTCGCTTGTCTGAAAAAAGAAGACAAAACACTGTAGCGGCTGGTTTTGTGAGAGAAAAATATTGTAGCGGCTGAAAGATACACTGTAGCACATGAGGGGAACAAGCCAAACCAGCCGGCTAGTCTAAAACTTTCAGACCAGCCAAACATGCCCTAAATAGATATACTGTAAAAATAGAATTAATGAAAAAACTAATGATATTTATTTGATATCATAAATGTTATTATTTTTATTATTATTATTAGGGAGTGCGGGAGTAATAAACTAGTGTTTGACCTTTAAATTCCTCACACCACACCATATTGTACTTTTTGTCACAACCCAGTGAACTCACAACAGGAAACCTGCAGGACCATTCGTTCTTATAGCTGATCGATCGAGTAGCCGGTACACATGAGAATTCAGAACATTTTACATCCTGCATAACCGGACAGACACAACTCAGACAGAACTAGCAATGGAACTGTGGCCTCCTAATTCACACAGTACAAACTAGGACAAAATGCACTGACACCTCCTGTAATTTCTCTTCAAAATTGATACTGCTTGCTTCGGCAGCACGGATTTTAAAGCAGGCATATGCTGAATTGCTGATGATGGGTGATGGCTTGGGCTAATTGTTGTTCTCCCCTTGCCCCTCCTTGGGCATCTCATTCAGGTCGAAGTCCCGCGGCGCAAGCGCAGGCGCCGGCGCCGGTGCCGATGCCGATGCCGCTTTGGCCTGTTGCTTCTCCGGGAACCAGTGCTTCCGCTTGTGGCCGCCGAGCGCCTGGCCGGAGGGGAAGATCAGGTGGCACTCGTCGCACACGTGCGGCGCCGCGGCCTGCGGCGTCGGCGCGGTCTGCGGTGTCGGCGCCTGCGCCGGTGGCGGCTGGGCGTCCTGGCGCTCCTGCAACGCGCCCGCGCCCGCGCCAGCGCTGGCGGGGATGGTGACGTTGCCGTTGCCGTTGCCGTTGCCGGCGCTCTGCTGGTCGCGGCGCGCCAAGATGTTGTGCTTGGCCTGGGCCGCGGCGAGGTCGTCGTGCCGCGCGCTGGTGGTCTTGGCGCCCTTGACGTGGTTGGCCATGTGGCCGCCTAGGGCTTGGTGGGTGGGGAACGACTTGCCGCAGGTCTGGCACGTGTGCTTCTTGTCCGACGCCGGCGACGGTATGCGCCTCGCCGGCGGCGTGCGGATGACGGCGCCTTCTGGAGGAGGCGGCGGCGGCGGCGTCGATGCTGCCGTCTGCTCGGGATTCATGACCCGGCGCTGCTTCTTGGCCTTCATCTTGTCGCCGGCGCCAGAGTCGAGACTGGGGAAGATGGGCTTGTTGTTCGCCGGGACCACGATCAGGACAGCTTCTGTGGTAATCACCAGGTCCGTGACCTGCTTGACCGCGGGCGTCTGGGACTCCGCGCTGAGCCCCAGGGCATTCTCCAGTTGAACGATCTGCTGCTCAGCCTCTGTGGGATGGTCAAGAAGCATGGGCTCCTCGACAACCGACATCTGTATCTGGTGGCCAGAGACGGCGTCGTGGGCACGCACCGGTTCCACAGACTGATGCTGCTGGGTTTCGGACGACGTGCGGCTGGAGGAGGCCAGCTCCAGGAGGATCATCGCAGCCTCCTCCTCCTCCTCGCTGCAGCTGCTCACCTGCACCGGAGCCACGGGCGTGCGCCCGCGCTTCACCGAGGCTGGCCACTTGGTTGAGAGCTCGGCCTCCTCCCACGCCTTCGTCGCAGCAGCGGCCGCCACGTTGATAGCCGGGACGCCAGCAGTCGCCTTCCGCGGCACCTTCTTGGTCGGCTTCTTGTCTCCAGCCACGGCAGCGGCAGCGGCGTCGCTGGCCGTCGCCGTCGGACGGGTGGCCCCCTTGTAGCCCCTCTCCGGGTGTTTCCTCAGGTGCCCGAACATGGCCTTCTCCGACGCGAACCACTTGGGGCACTCGGGGCACTTGGTAGCCGTAGCCTCGGCGTTGCCAATTGTCCCCATCGTCGTCGTCTGAGCAAGGCCGCTGCCTTGGCGCGCCGCCGTGCCTTGGGCTTGGATATTCAGCAGCGGAGCCTTCGGGGTGACCTCGGGCTCGCCGCCTTCTGCGGCATGAACAACTGGAGCCGCCGCCGCCGCCTCAGCAACCTGGAGCTGGAACTGGTAAGCTCGCGAGTTCATGATGAGGTCGATCGTTGCTGATCAGAGCGAGAGGAGTTATGGTTCTGCTGCCGGGTGGGCAGGTGTGGCTGTATCTGTTTCGATCGAGGCGCCGCCGAGCAGACCTTCCTTCTGCCAAAAGCTAGTAACCGAAACGGACTCTGGGACTCAAGGGACCCCGGCCCCATGCATCTGATCTGAGAGAGTCCCTTCTCCTTTTGTCACCTGGAGAAGAAAATAAAGTGAACAGCCTAAGATAAATAGAATGAACTAAAATAGTAGTAGTCAATTCTTGAGTTGGTAAAAAAAAGCTAAGCATAAAATAATAGGCAAGGTGTAATAAGAAAGTACTAATACAAGTGCAACATTAATCTTTTCCAATTACAAACCACCCAAAAGAAGAACCAAATTAACCCCAGTTCACAGCGAGACAGTGATGAAGGCAACACATTGGTGTAATGGTGTGAGAATCAGTAAAAAAAGTAGAATGTTTGCATGCCAGTATGGTGGGAAATGCCATAGAGACTAACGTTTTTGAGCCTAATTATAGAACACTATTTGCCAAATAAAAACGAACGTGCTACAGTAACCCCAAAATCCAACTTTGTCCAACTAAACCAGGGCTCAGTGAAAGTAGCCATAGGCCTATAGTGAGGTAGCAGCTGCTGGCTCACCAAGCCACCTACTCCTAGTTACTGCACACAAGGGTGAGAGAATACACAATGCAGTACAAACGTCAAACGGTGGTAGAAAAGGGAAAAATTCCATGTACTGAACTATACTGAATTGACAGGAGATCTTGCAGCTTTTGTATCCTCTTTTCTGCCAAAAGAGTACCAGAATCCCAGAGATAAGAACCACTACTCCTACCTGAAGTGTACTCCTACTCCAGGCAGCTAGTACCACTACCACCCAGCAGAATTGGGGAAAGAAAAGCAACGGCTGTTTTGCAGTCTGCACAAGAGAAGAAGCTGAACGATTGCATTATTGCTGCATGTAGAAAGTACTCCATACTACTCCCGGGAGTAGCACTATACTTGATGAGAAAATATCGTGCTTTCTGTTTAAATTCCGGGGCGAAAAACGGCAAGCAAGGCAAGGATCTGCATGTCATGCACTACTGGTGCTGCTGGATCATTGCAAAACGGAAGCAGATCAGTAAAAACAAGGAATGAAACATTCGTCATGCATAAACATGGAACCGATTGATGCATGCGATCCATGTATACTTCAAAGGAAAGTAACCCGGCCGCGCATGCATGCAGATAGGAAAGAACGATCGAGCTGGAAATCCAGCGCGAGCAAGGAAAGAAATCATCCATACTGGTGGAGCAAACAGATCCAGCTCCAGCTCCAGCAGGACCTGGCCATCAGCTGCAAACTGCATTGCGACGGCGAGCTCAGATTGAAAATAAAGATAGAAGAGCTGATGGGCAGATGGGTGTGTGTGTGTGGAACCAGAAAACCCACCTGGAAATTAAAAGAAAAAAGATGGAGCTGAAATGGAACCGGCCGGACTGGCGGCGATCGATCGACGACGACTGAAAAGAGGATAAAAGAAAAATCTCGCGCTGCTCTACTTACTCACCTCAGTAGTAGTACTATCTCTAGAGCTATGTGTAAGAGAGATGAGAAAAATAAGAGCGGAGGGAGGAGGCAGGAAAACGAAACCGATCTCGCCCAAATCCCAAGAAGAACTTAATCAACCAACGCACCACAAGGAAGAAGCTGATAGGAATATCCGAATATGGGACGAACGAAAACATATCAATCCACACAACGAACCATAGATAGCAGCCGGAGCGCGGTTTCCCAGTGCCGCCCCAGACCTCGCGCGCCGCACTAGCTAGCTTCCCCGCGAAACCTAGCCCCAGCTACCGGCGGGACGACGACGAGGGTTCCGATTGTCGTCAGGGAGGTGGGAAGAGCGAGGGGGAGAGGAGGAAGAAGGGGGTGGGGGAGGGGAGGGATCAATCGATCTCACCTCTCTTCAGGGATGAGCTGAAATATCCGCGGGTACGGTACGGTGGTGGAGGCAGGCGTGGAGCAGAGGGAGCTCGCTGGGCTCTTCTCCTTCCTTTATGTAACCACCAGAATCCTGGAGCAACAAGAAAGTCACGAGAGAGGGGAGAGCAGCGGAGGCGATCGAGGTGTGTGTTGGGAGGGAGGGGAGGCTCAGGCGCTCAGCTGGCAGCTCTCACGCGCGCACCTATCAGCCCTCTCTCTCTCACCTCAGTGGGGCCTAGCCTCTAGCACTAGCACCGTATCTCTCCCAGAGAGAGAGAGAGAGAGAGAGAGAGAGAGGAGGGATCGGAAGCGAAGAGGGAAGGGACCCGCAGGCGGGGTGTGTGCGGGAAAGCGGTAGTGAAGAAGGAGCGCGCGCCGGCGCCGCCGCAAATAAGGTGGGACGCGGGTGGGGGTGGGGACCGCGCCCGATTGGGGTGCGACATCGGGGGGCCCGATCGGTTAGAGGCCGGCTCCTGGAAAACTAGGCGTACGGACGTGCATGAGAAGTTGAAACCGTGAAAGTGAAACAAACTACCCAGCCTTTACACTGTTTGCTTGGTACGCATATGCATTGCCGTGGCCCTTGGTTTGCTTGGCGATGTTTGTTGCAATATTTTTCTTCCAATAATACTTTTTTTAACAAAAATGTTTGCAACACACTGGACTACTAATACGGAGTATCTTTTTATCTTCCTGTAGAACCTGAGTGATATGCTATACACAGGCCGGAGTTTTTTTTTGGAGAATTAAACAAGCCGGAGTTAACGTACAATCTTATAGTTTATTTTAGAGAATCACTTCATCAAATCAATATGGAATTATTTCTCTCTAAAAAATGTTTGAAAGAGCTACTGCTAGTTTTAGCAGAGAATCAGCTCTGGAACATCTAGGCCTAAGGTCTGTGCCTAAAGCATTGCACTTAGATTTGTTTCCATACGTATTTACAACGTTGTAGACTACTAGTAGTGCTAAGTATATCTTCTCTCCTTCCATCTACAACCTGAGTTGTGCTCCACGCAGGTAGTAGTGCACTATATTGAGCGCGATTGGTAGTTTTAGTTGCGGTTGCGGCTACAATTGCAGCAATCCACTGCTACATCAGTATTAGCGGTGTTTGTTGCAATATTCTTTTTTCAATACATTTTTTAGTATGTCTATATAACCCACACGATCACTAGTAATACGGAAATAGTTATCATCCAATCTTTCTTCTAGAACCTGCGTTATGCTCTATGCGGACCGGAGGAGTGTCACTGCACCAATATTCTTTTTCATATACTTTAGTATTTTCGAAGCAGTAAGCTACTAGTAGTATGTAAGTAGTTATCTTATGTCTTTCCTTCTCCAGAATTAAGGCAGTGTACCGATATTCTTCTTTAAATACTTTCGTATTTACAACATTGTAGACTACTAGTAGCACGAAATTAAGTTAAAACCTAAGTTGTGCGCCATGCAGGTAGCAATGCACTATATTGAGCGTGATTGGTAGCATAGAAAAAATAGCGGGCTATAGCGGCCGGAGAGGCTTGACGCTATGCTATCGCTCTTTGTGCCGCTATGCCAACTTTAACCGCTGTTGCGAGCTATAGCGCCGTTAGGTTGCATAGCTTTAGCGTTAAAATAGTGGCACTATTTCATATTTGCCTACTTATCATTTGCTTACTAATTTAATTAGTTATTTCCTACTTATAATTTGCTACTAATTTGGTATTTTTGAACAATTCAACACTGGAGTTTTACGAACCATGTTGTAATATCATATTGGTAATGTTACCTAAACTTATGGAATCATAGTAACATATTTGTGTTCACCGAATTTGATATTTGACATGTTTTTTGCATCAATTACTGGTGTTTTTCATGCTTATTTTATAAAAACGCTATCTGTGGTAGCGCCGCTATAGCTTCATAGCTGCTGAAAAAAGTTACCACTATTTTCAATACCGCTATTTTTAACTATGATCGGTAGTGCTGCTTGTGGTCGTGGTTGTAGCTGTAACCATTCACTTCTATAGTGATTGAACAATAGTGGTGACTGTTGCAGCTGCTACCCCAACCATAGACAGCAAAAGTGAGTGGAGTCATTTTTTTTTTCCAAACACTTTCGTATTTACAGTATACTCCGTCTGTTCATAAAAGAATGCAATTCTCGTTTTTTAAAGAGTCAAACAATTTGAACTTTTGACTAAAGTTATATAAAAAAGATACTAATATTTTTTATACAAAATAAGCACCATTAGTTTAATTATGTAATATATTTTTCATATTAAACTTTATTGAAGAAACAAATGTTAATATTGTATTTATTGCAAACTTGGTCAAACTTAAACTAGTTTGAATGATACAAATTTCATAGTTGCATCCTTTTGTGCACAAAGGAAGCAATTATAGCCCATGAGCAGTAGAGAAGTACTACCTCCGCTCTAAGTTATAAAATATTTTGGTTTTTCTAGATATATTATTTTTACTATATATATATAGATACGATGTATATTTAAGTGGATAGCAACCATGTACGAAGAAAAATCAAAACGTCTTAGAAACGGAGGGAGTAGTTACTTTTTCCTCCCTTCTATGTGTTGGAATGTGATCTCGGCTAATTCTGTGATTAATTATGAAATTAATTAATTGTTAAGTTAGTGGTTAACCTGACATTAATATCTAACAGATCAGATCTGCCGTGATCGGCGGCAACCCTTAGATCTTCTAGGGCTCAACCCCGTGGCCCACAGTGCATTTATAAATAAGAGGAGACGCCCCTGACGGCTCCATTCTTGTGACTATTCACATAACCGGTCAATTAGGCGTTTGGAGGGTCTAGGAAGGCTGTCTCCCACGTCCACCCCGTCCAGGTCATATCGGTGATATCCAGAAGACCGCCGCTCCTCCGCATGATCTCCTGTTCATCGACTAAGGGCATCCTAGCCCTCAACCGGTGAACCCACGCCATCTGCACCGACTCCAACACCTAAAGAGGTTCTAATGGCTGCACCTAACTCACGTATGTCATTAGA